TTGCAGTAGTAGTGAATGTGGTAGAGGAGATGGGTGGTGAGAGAGAGATGAGTGAGAGACAGATAGAGAAGAGAGATAGAGAGAGACAGAGACAGAGTGATGAGTAAGAGAGAGAGACAAAGTGATCGCTAAAAGTGCATTTTCTTGTAGTGAAGAGCTCGGTAAATAGAGAAGAGGGGAGTGAGAGAATGAACAAGGTGAACACAATGGGGGAGAGAGAGATAGAGAAGAGAGAAAAGAGAGACAAAGAGAGAAGAGAGATGAGCGAGAGACACAGAAAGAGAGAGAGACAAACAGATAGACAGACAGACCGAGAAGAGTGATGAGTGAGAGAGAGAAAGAGAAGAGAGACAGAGACAAAAACAGAGACACAGAGAGAAAGAGACAGACAGACAGACAGAGAAGAGTGATGAGTGAGAGAGAAAGAAAGAGAAGAGAGACAAAGACAAAGACATAGAGAGAAAAAGACAGACAGACAGACAGAAAGAGAGAGAAAGAGTGATGAGTGAAAGTAAATTTTTATTTTTCATTTAGCAACTAAATTATTTTAGTTGCCAAAACTATCTGTAATATTTTAGTCGCTGAATTTAAATTTTTGCCGACTAAACTTTTGGTCGCCAAAGATAAAAAATAAATTTTGATTTTTCATTCAGCGACTAAATTATTTTAGTTGCCAAAACTATCTATACAACGACAAAAATATTTTTTAGTCGCTGAAATTGAATTTTTGCCGACCAAAAGTTTGATCACCAAAGATAAAAAGTGAATTTTTATTTTTCTTTCAGCGACTAAATTATTTTAGTTGCCAAAACTATCTATACAGCGACCAAAATATCTTTTAGTCGCTGAAATTAAATTTTTGCCGACCAAAATTTTGGTCGCCAAAGAAAAAAGTAAATTTTTATTTTTCTTTCAGCAACTAAATTGTTTTAGTTGCAAAAACTATATATATAGCGACCAAAATATTTTTTAGTCGTTGAAATTAAATTTTTACCGACCAAAATTTTGGTCGCCAAAGATAAAAAATTTTTATTTTTCATTCAGCGACTAAATTATTTTAGTTGCCAAAACTATCTATACAACGACAAAAATATTTTTTAGTCGCTGAAATTGAATTTTTGCGACCAAAAGTTTGGTCGCCAAAGATAAAAAGTGAATTTTAATTTTTCATTCAGCAACTAAATTATTTTAGTTGCCAAAACTATATATACAGCAACCAAAATAATTTTTAGTCGCTGAAATTAAATTTTGCCGACCAAACTTTTGGTCGCCAAAGAGAAAAAAATAAATTTTAATTTTTCATTCAGCGATTAAATTATTTTAGTCACCAAAACTATCTATACCGCGACTAAAATATTTTTAGTCGCTAAAATTAAATTTTTGCCGACCAAACTTTTGGTCGCCAAAGAGAAAAAATAATTTTTTATTTTTCATTCGGCGACTAAATTATTTCAGTTGCCAAAACTATCTATACAGCGACTAAAATATTTTTTAGTCGCTGAAATTAAATTTTTGCCCACCAAACTTTTGGTCGCCAAAGAGAAAAAATAAATTTTTATTTTTCATTCAGCAACTAAATTATTTTAGTTGCCAAAACTATATATACAGCGACAAAAATATTTTTTAGTCGCTGAAATTGAATTTTTGCCGACCAAAAGTTTGGTCGCCAAAGATAAAAAGTGAATTTTGATTTTTCATTCAGCGACTAAATTATTTTAGGTGCCAAAACTATATATACAGCGACCAAAATATTTTTAGTCGCTAAAATTAAATTTTTGCTGACCAAAATTTTGATCGCCAAAGATAAAAAGTAAATTTTTATTTTTCATTCAGCGACTAAATTATTTTAGTGGCCAAAACTATCTATACAGCGACTAAAATATTTTCTAGTCGCTGAAATTAAATTTTGCCGACCAAAATTTTGGTTGCCAAAGATAAAAAATAAATTTTTATTTTTCTTTCAGCGACTAAATTATTTTAGTCGCCAAAACTATCTATACCGTGACTAAAATATTTTTCAGTCGCTGAAATTATATTTTTGCCGACCAAACTTTTGGTCGCCAAAGATAAAACATAAATTTTTATTTTTCATTCAGCAACTAGATTATTTTAGTCGCCAAAACTATCTGTACCGCGACTAAAATATTTTTTTGTCCCTGAAATTATATTTTTGCCGACCAAACTTTTGGTCGCCAAAGAGAAAAATAAATTTTTATTTTTCATTCCGCGACTAAATTATTTTAGTCGCCAAAACTATCTATACCGCGACTAAAATATTTTTTAGTCGCTAAAATTAAATTTTTGCCTACCAAAATTTTGGTCGCCAAAGATAAAAAGTGAATTTTTATTTTTCATTGAGCGACTAAATTATTTTAGTTGCCAAAACTATCTATACAGCGACCAAAATATCTTTTAGTCGCTGAAATTAAATTTTTACCGACCAAAATTTTGGTCGCCAAAGATAAAAAGTAAATTTTTATTTTTCTTTCAGCGACTAAATTGTTTTAGTTGCCAAAACTATATATACAGCAACCAAAATATTTTTTAGTCGTTGAAATAAAATTTTTGCCGACCAAAATTTTGGTCGCCAAAGATCCTATTTATAAATTTTTATTTTTCATTCAGCGACTAAATTCTTTTAGTTGCCAAAAGTATCTACACAGCGATTAAAATATTTTTTAGTCGCTGAAATTACATTTTTGCCAACCAAAATTTTGGTCGCCAAAGATAAAAAGTAAATATTTATTTTTTTTTCAGCGACTAAATTATTTTAGTTGCCAAAACTATCTATACAGCGACTAAAATATTTTTTTAATCGCCAACTGTGGCAAATTTAGCGACTAAATTTTTTTTAGTCACCAAAAATTAATATACCCCGACAAAAAAAATTGTGTAGCTAAATATTGTACTTTTACCGACTAACATAATTTTTGGTCGCCAATTCCACAACTTTTGGCAACCAAAATATTTATAGTCGGCAAAAGTGGTCGGCAAAACTGTATTTTCTTGTAGTGAATAGTAGCCACTTATAAAATAAAATAATAAAATAAAAGTTAAAAGGATAAAAAAAAATATTTTATTATTCAAACCCAAAGGTATAATATCCACTAAGTTTTGATCATCCAAGAATTATCACAAAAGAAAGAGATCTTACAACGTTGACAAAGAATAAAATGACATAAATTCATATTTTTTATGTTATAATTATTAAAAAAAAATTATAATCAAACACTACATATTGGAGTATTTTCAATGGTGAATCAAATATTTCACCAAATCTAAGTAAAAATTTAAGGAATTTCTCTATTTGATATCCAGCGTTCCAACGGTATATTTTTTACTATCAGCAAAATTTTGATCGACTGAGGGGACAACCAGCCGATTGACCGGCAAGGCAATCTGAAAAAAAAAATCTAATACAAATCTTGAACAGAGGAGGTGGTGAAATGAGAGAGAAAGAGAAAAGTTGAGAACAGAAGAAGATGTGAAATGAGAGAGAAAGAGAGAAGCTGAGTTGGTTGTGAGAATGACCCAGCAGCCGCCATCCTCCATAATAGTCAAATAATTCAACTCCAAAATATCTAAACTGCATACACCAATCACAAAAAATAATAATAATAATAATAATAATAATAATAATAATAATAATAATAATAATAATAATAATAATAATAATAATAACGATCTAGCAATCAAAATCTAATCGAATTAGACAAATTTTAAACCTTCGGAAGACGAATTTTCGAGAAATGGAAGGTTTAGGATCTGTGAGGGACGAAACACACTGGATGGATCGTAAACTGCAAGAAAGGATTAGATCGATCGAGTAATGGGAGATTGGAGGATGAGCATCGAATCTTTTATCTACGCGAATCTCAACATCTTGACTGAGAGAGGGATATGATAGAAGAGACAAAAGTAGAGAAGAGCAAATATGAATGGTTGGGTTGTGTTGAGTGAGAGAGGAATTAGATCGTCTTCCTTTGTTCTTCCTCATCTTCATCTCCTTCCTTTAGATCTGGTATCATTTTTGTGGAAATTATTGAAGTAACCGGATGACCGGGGGGACAACCGGCCAGTCGGCCGGTGTGTCAGCTCACAACGGTCTTGCACAGTAAATTGGTGAAAGGTACCCAGATCTTCAGTTTGATAAAACCTTTGAGAAGGTACTCAAATCTTCAGTTTGGTGAAATCTTTGCTATTTTCTTAATTTGATATCATTTTGATTAAACCATTGGAGCACAAAAAGTCCTTCTTTTTTACCAAATTTGAATTTGGTGATACATTTGATAAACCATTGGAGATAGTCTAACATAACTAAAAATCTCATGAGTCATAATTAAAATAATCTTATAACTAAATAAGAAAATTAATCATAACTAAAAAAAAATGATATAATCAAAAATGCAAATAGTATATCCATGTTAAGGGATGCGTATAATAAAATTTTCATATAAACTTTAGGATAACAACGGTAAATTACAAATGCACCCTTGAGGTTTTCTTAAAGTACAAATTACTCTCTATAGTTTGGAAAATTACAAATACCCTTTGTTATAATTTTTTATTTAACAAAATTAACTAAAAAAATAAAATTTATAATTGTTTTCTTATATAATAATAAAATTATCTAAATTACTAATTTAAACATATTTGTAATATCATTAGAAACAATTAATTGATTTGATAATTTATTAATAAAAAAGACAATTTATTATGAAATCAAAAATCTCAAAAGAGTGAAAAAAAATACAATGGCTGATTTGTAAGGGTGGGCGTGTAATTTACCCGGGTAACAAACAAACAAATAGGGATGATGATGGGTAATCATGGAAGTCAACCAGATCTTCACAGTAGTCGAGCACAATAAGCCCAAGCAATTCCCAACAAACTCATGAAAAAAATAATTTTCCAACAAAACAAACAACTCTAAAATCAGCGTGATTGATTGATTAGTCACAGATAAGAGAGAGAGGAGAAGAGAAGAGAAGAGGAGGTACCTTGAGCAGGATTGGGAGAAGTATACTTGGGATTGGGATCATTCATCTCTGCAACACAAATCCAAAACAACAAAAGCAAAAACAAGAAAGAAGAAGAAAGATCAGGGATACAGAGAGAGAGAGAGCAGTGACTAGTTATAAAGATTTTGGGAATTGATAAAGCAAAAATGATGGGTAGCTCGAGCTTTAATGATGGTAGCCCGAGCTTTATTGAGTTTTAATGGGTGTGGGTCTCACTATTATGTGATATTTTGATTTTATATATATATTTTTTTGTGTTTTATTTTCTGTCACATCTGTAGAGCTTAATTGAAATTTCAAAATTAAGAGATGTATCGTTGCTTATGGATAAGACAATAGATTGGAGGATGCGCTTGAGGCTATTGTGCCCTCGTTTTGCATGGGTTAGCAGGCTAAAACAATTAAAAAAATAATAAAATAAAATGTCATCATATTTAAATTATAATTATTTTATTTTTTTCTTACAAAAGTCAAAAAAATTAAAATGTTAAATTCAAACAAGACTTTTTAACCTAAGCTAAAACTAAAAAACCAACCTACTTCCCTAACGAAACCTGTATATGGGAATGATGTGCACCCATAGGTGCATACCATATACAACTTTTTTTTAATTCACGTAATTTTATCATAAAATTTCATAATACTAACAAAAAAAAATGCGTAATCTCATTATAAATTAGCATAACAAAATGTCAAAAATTTTGTTTTTGATTTTACAAAATTTTGAGACTTGGTTACTACATTTTTTCTTATGCCAATTTATAACGAGATTACTCATTTTGTGATTAATATTATGAAATTTTATAATAAAATTATGTTAATTTATGATAGAGTGCATATAGTATGTATCCTCGAGTTTAATACACAAGAAAGTAGGAAAGAAATACAGATAGATAGAGCTCTCTATAATAAATAGAGGTTATCTCAAAAGGAGTGTTTGTTTGGTAGGATTAGGGTATGAGATTGGACTTTATGTTTAATAAAATGGATAGTCTAATGTTTAGTTAGAAAAGTGAAAATTGGACTAATAGTGACTAATAATCTGCCAAATGTGAGATAACTCAATCCCATGCGGGTGTGTGGGACAAAAATAGGTAGACTAAGCCAATCTCTGTATTAACTAGATAAATATTGAAATTGACCCTCAAATATATATAATTTATTTATTTCATTTTTTTAATTTTTTTAAATATGTTGTATTTTTTTAAACAGGTGTAAATTAATCTGATGATATAAGTCTTCTTTTACTTCTTTTCTTTCTCTTTTTTGTATTAGCAAAATCATAAATGAAAACATACTTCTAATGTCTTATTTAAATAAAATTAAAATGGTCTTTGCAAAATAAAATAAAATATACTTCAAATTTAGTATTGCTATTGTAAACAATTTATAATTTTTAAATCAAGCATGAGATTTATTAAAATAGTCATTTACAAACATTTAATCTCATAAAAAAATAAACATGGAATATATATTATTTTTAGTCAAATAATCCTAAGACTATATATCCCAAAACCATCAATCTATTATCTTACGATCCATACTTATCCAATTTATCTAAACAAATATCGCCAAAGTCTACAATCTCAATAAAATTGATAGTGGTTTGAAAATTTATTAAATTACACTAAAGTAGTGTCAGTGAAAATTAATTATATATTAATAAAAAAATTATAATTATTTTCCCTGACATTTACTGTCGGATTGTTTTCCCTTAAATATATACTAACCTAAATTATTATTTTTAAATTTATCTAAAATAAAATGGATGGTTATAATCAACAAATAAAAATCCAACCTCTACCGCATCAATATAAGTAAATTTAAAAATAATATTTTATGTATATTTTATGGGGGGACTTACGTGTAAGTCCTAATAAGTGGACTTATTGTTCAATAGGTCCTATGATAATTAGTGGCATTTTTCATTAAACACTATTAAAAAAAGTCACTAATTGTTAATTTTCAGCGACAATATGAAAATTTTGTCACAAAAAATGTAACTAATTATAAGTTTTAGCGACAGTTTAAAAAAATCTTCACAAAAAGTATCACTAATTCACAATTTTTAGCGATAATTTAAAAATTCATCACAGAAAAACGTCACTAATTATAAGTTTTAGCGACAATTTATAAAAATCATGACCAAAAAAGGTCACTAATTGTTAATTTTTAGCGACATGTAAAAATCGTCACAAAAAAATTATTTTTAACAACGATTTTACCAAGACTTATTTTCAATAGGACTTGATGAGAATTAAATCTAACTATTACACTACAACAAAATACACCTTTGGCGACTAAAATTAGCAACTAAAAGAAATTTAGTCGCCAAAAGTTTTGGAATTGGCGACTAAAACTTTTTTTTGGTCGCCAAAAGTATAAAATTTAGCTACTAAATTTTTAGTCGGGATATATTGATTATTGGCGACTAAAAAATAATTTAGTTGCTAAAAATACTAGAATTAGCGACAAAAAAAAATTTTAGTCACCGTATATGAGTTTTGGCTACTAAAATATTTAGTCGCCGAATGTAAAATTAAAAATTTATTTTTTATCTTTTGGCGACCAAAAGTTTAGTCGCCAAAACATATTTTCAGCGACCAAAAATTAGTTTAGTCACCGTTTATTAGGTATTGGCTACTAAAATATTTAGTCGCCAAATGTAAAATTAAAAAAAAAAAAAAACTATCTTTGGCGACCAAAAGTTTAGTCGCCAAAAAATAAAAAATAAAATTGGAGGGAGACCTTTCTAATTTAAATTTGAGGGATTTATAAAAGTAATTGGCGACTAAAAATTTAGTCACTAATAGTGTAATATATATATATATATATATTTGGTTTCGATCTGCCAACACAACAGACAGAGGAAACATTTTCCACTATTAGAGAGAGAGAGAGAGTGTGAGTGAGAGAGATGGGGTTGGGGTTGCTAGCTTCCAGAGCCCTACGTTTCAAATCTCCAAACCCTAGATATGCCATCGTTCAAACCATCGTCTCCACAACTGAGTTCCAGAAGCCAGAAGCTGCTGCTAAAGCCCAGCCTCCGCTAGATGATGTCCAAAATCGAACCCCAGTGGGAGGAGCTAGGGTCCACTTCTCCAACCCCGGAAGACGCGATCAAGGTGTTCGTGGATGGTTATAAAAATTCCAAAGGGGATGACCGTTCTATAGGCCTGCGAGGTCGCCGGCGTCGAAATTCCCAGATTCTGCTACCACAGCCGCCTCTCCATTGCAGGAAACTGCCGTACGTGCCTTGTCGAGGTTGAGAAGTCGCCCAAGCCTGTCGCTTCTTGCACCATGCCCGCTCTTCCAGGTTTTCATTTATTTTTTTACGGATTAGTAATGCCATTTGCTTAATTCATCTGGGTTTTAGTATTTTGTTGGGTTCATTATCTATGGTCTATTATTATTTTTTTCTGGGTTCACTTGATTAGTTTAAAATTTGGTTTTTGGGTTCTATATATTTATATTTTTAATTTATTACTATTTTCAAGGTTATATTTTGTTAGGTAGGTGTATTACACTGTTATCTCCTATCCTGTTATATATTAGATCATGATGGGCTCTAGGATTATAGGTTTGTTTGCCTAAAAAGTGTTCGACAAAAAGACACTGTTGGTTTATCTTATTTGATGGGTTGTTACTCTCGATCTTTTTCAAATTTCAGATTTTGGTTATTCTTTTTCAGTTAATTTGTTGATTTTGCGAGAGGGTTATGATTAAATCAGTCTAGGAATGATTGTGGGATTAATTAGATGATGTTCTTTCTGGGATTGTGCTGAATTGTTGATATCTCATGAATCTATGTCCTCTTAAATGAGACTGCTGATCTTCTTTGATTTTTTTTAATAAATTATTGTACTCTTATTATTTTTGTTGCTCCTCGAAACTCAGCCATATGATCAATCACAAATTTGATGAGTTGATTGAGGAAAGATCCTTGTTTGTTGAGGGAGGAAGACATTGATAAATGAGTTTTCTTTTGACAGATTTCATCTATGCGTTTATCATATAACTTCCCTTATATTAATTTTTACGTCATTGCATTTGAGGCCTTAAAGTTTTGAGGGATTTATAAAAGTAATTGGTGACTAACACATTTAGATCATAAACTCTGAATTTGGATCATTGGTTTAGGTGATTGTTTGTTTGATATGTGGATTGTTAAATTTTTTGCCCACCAAGTGTTTGATTCTATGCTCGAGTGACAAATTTATTAGAAACAATTGGAACATGGAGTGTTTGAATCTGTTTTAATCTGCTTTCACAATTGAGCATGGTCACCAATATATGTACACCATTGTAACTCTGTTACAGAGTATTGTGATTTTATTGAGAGATAGACGTTAATGAAGATCATTAGAGAGATAGACATTAATAACAAATCAAAGCACTGCATAATTAGCCAAGCCCCATGGAGTCATAAAAGAAGACAAATTTCTGTAAGGTTCCTTCAATACAAAAGTGGCCAAATAGTGATCATTTTTTACAACTTCCGTTTCATTCATTCTAATAAGGATGGGGTTCATCAGAAAGCATAAGTTATAATGTGAAAACTCCAACTACATTTATTGATGAGATATATTGTGGTTAAATTCTCATTCGTTGATGAATCCCCATATATTTTATTCATATTTAGTTGGAACTAACTAGGTGGGTTGAAGACAATTTTATGCTCTAACTCACTCAGATTCTTGTACTTATTTGAATGTGTTGGTTAGTTTAATCATATGAAAAGAAGTCAATTTTGGGCATTCTGCATATTGGATATCTTTGTTAGGAGTTTAAACTTTATTTGAGGAAGAGGAACCGATTTAATAAACTTTATTTTGGGCATTCTGCATATTGAATATCTTTGCTCTATTAAACTTTATTAGGAATTTAATAATCACAAGGCTGCTAGACTTCGTGATTCACTAAGATTATTTGAGGAAGAGGAGCCGATTTTACGCATGCGCAGGTTGATGAATGAGGCCATTGCCGATGAGAGGTTTGAGGTATCGTATGCTTATGATTCCTTAATGCCATTTTTCTTCAAAGTACAAATGTTTGGTTTAGTTTTAGATAATTAATGTGTTCAAGTGATGCACACAATGAGATTAAGTCTCTTTGGAGGTGATGCACACAAATTGGAGGTTCA